TATCGTCATAAGGATTTAGCACTAATATATTTGAATAAATGATCGGTCAATACCAATACGTATTTTTGTTTCTATTTGCAATGTTCTGCTGTTAGCTGCTTCAAAAAGCTATGCAATTACTTGGAATTATTCTTCAGGTGCAGGTAGTTCAATAGATTGTAAAGGTACGACTGATTTTCGTCGACGAATATTGCACATTAAACATTATTTGCATCAGCGCACATTGTTCGACATAATTGTGTATGTCTTTGCGTATTTATTCTTCAATATTTTGCATGTGCGTTCGATCCCAGAATGTCCAGCCAATGGATGCTCGCGATGAGCAAATAGCATATCGTTGATCATTGATGATGATATATATGATAAACGACGGTTATTGTTTAATTTATAAACCATGCTATGTTGAACGATGAATTGTGACTTTGTGGTTCGATATTGTGTTAGTTCAACGAAAATTTGTTGAATTCTTGCGTCTTATTACTGTCCTCTATTCTGATCAATTCCTAAGTCAATTTGCGGTATCGAATTAGGGTTCATTGACATCATCGTGAGTTGAACCTTTTTTTTTTATTGCACTACAGTCATTTGTGGTATAACATTTTGATGTTTCAATAACCATTCCGTGATGCGTTTATTGTTAAATGTATTCTTGTTGGTGGAATCGTAATAATGGTTTGTGATCAGTATGAATTATAAGATCACGTTTACTTAAATGCTGATGATATTGTTACATTATAAAATAATTATTTAAATTTATTAGTTGAATCAAGAACAGTGATCGATGATACATGTTCTTTATTTGATGGTTTTATTAAATGTTTTCGAAACATTAGTACTGATATTGAAAATAAAGAAAATATTTTTTACTTTGCCTAATAATCAAATGACAGATATTTTAAATTTAATATATAATTTCCAACAAATAGCAGCTATTTATGGTAGTGTATCAAATAATCATGATGATGATCATCAGAAATGGATTCCTTATTTCTTAAGATAAAAATAACCTTTTTTTGTGAATTATAATAAAATTTCTCTTTCGCTTTATAGACAAAAGCTGTCACATTTGAACGAGTAATCGATCATTTAATAAAAGATTTTGAATTATATTCAAACTTTTAAACGAAGATAAACACAATTCTAAAATGAAAATGATCAATTTATATAGACAATACTATGAAGGTAAAGAAATTTTTTGTCTGCATCTGTCTACAAGATTCTTTTTTTCTAAAAGGTAAGTTTATAAAAATGAAGAAATAACAATTACTGAATTTGAAAAAGAATATGATAGCAGTAAAGCATATTGATGATATTCAAAAGCTTATCTACTTGTTGTGTACAAGCTTATTTACTTAAAGGTTATCAACTATTAAAAGCAGAACCTGAACTATTTAACAAAAAATAGAATTATCAATATTAGTGTTATGTCATGGTCCAGGTTTATCATTTGAAGAATTTCAAGATAATCAATCAAAGATTGATGGTTATATAACAATAAAATAGTTTTCTATAAACAAATAAAACACATCAGCAAGTGTTAGATTATGCAATGTCAATTAATACAACAAAAATCAACGTGTTTTATTAGAAAATGATAATAATGAAGAAACACCACTAGTCGCTGTTATAACACATTTACGTGCATCCCCCCAAGGAAGATGAGATTTTAATGATGTTGAGTCGTATATTCGAAGATACAAAACTTAATATATTATAGATAATTAAACTACAGTTATGCACTGATGAAAAATATGATTATATGAACTATCAAAAGTTATGAAAGACAAATTGGCTGATGTGAGTAGTCTACACTGTAAAAAAGAGAAGGTTTGTATACGAAACCCAAAAGGGAATAGAGAATTGCAAATATTTCTAAACCGTTTTCAGGTTTCGATTAAGAGCATAAATTCTATCAGTTCTTTTACTAAAAAAATTTTTTCTGAGCACGTGGACCATTTCAGCAGCTTAGGTGACGTGAGCCGAAAACTGACGTGAGTCACACAAATCTAGAAACTTCTTTAATTTTTGATTTTTCAGTCATGAGAAAAAACCATAACAAAACAAGCAAATGCACTTGATCAATCGTTTTCATGCACTTAAAACGGTTTCGTACTGTATCATTTCTTGTACGAAACCTAAGGGTTTAGAAATGGTTGCATTTCTCTACACGCCTTTAGGTTTCTTAAACATACCTGTCTTTTTTTTACGGAACAGGACAGATACTAAAGATTTTGTGCAGAATGGGTAGTAGACAAGCAGGTGTAGATCAATCTTGAGATTGCTCTCTGCTATTTTGGCCTAGCACATATATCGAAAGAGATGAATCAATAAAAATCCTGCTTTAGAACAAGTAAATACGGCTATCGCACGAAGTTCACAAATTCTAAAACCGACTTATTCATTTATTTTTCACTACTTTTGAGTGTTTTTTTTCTAGTTTTCTTCCATCATCGCAAGAAAAAAATAATGTGACATAGAGAATGATGATGGTGAACAGTAACAATCTAGAGAAAAAATACTCTGACTAGCGGACCGTACAGAGACCCATAAAAGAGAATACCTTCGAAATTACCTTTGTTATGGTGGAGTCCTTTGTCGCGATGATCAGAATATATGTGGTGGGACTACTTGTTATGGTGAGGGATCCATTTGTATGGGTGAAGTTGTGAGCTAATTACACTTTCTTACCTAGAAATTTTACTTAAGATCCGACAAAAAAAAATTTACATTCAGAATATATAAATTTATAATTATAACTATTAAACAACATTTTCTAATTGAGGATTGGTTCAATAATAATCAGTTGTCCGGCGTAAGTTATAAAATAAATTGTAATGATTGTGTTGGCACTGAAGAGTCCGAAATATGGTAGTTAATAAATATTTATAACTCAACTTTTTTGGACCAATTTTCCAGTGGAAAACTGTTTATAAACCCGTTTATAAAAAAACCCGTTTCAAAAATTAACAAATAATCGTTTATTAATCGATTTATAATTATTTCGGACTGTTTAGTGTGCGATGGTGACTATATCGATAAGATTATTAGACAAACATATCCTAGAACGGTGAGCATGAAAAGATGTTCTAAAAGCAGAATTACATCTAATTACTAACCATCGTCGTTTAAAAGTAGGCATGGACCGGTTTCGGTTTTTAACCGATTAACCGAAATCGATCATAACCGAAAATATTGCACAAGTTCTTGAAAATACACAATATGAAGAAAGCATCTGTTGTTTAATCAACAACTGTTTATCCGGGAAGAAGAAGCACGGTATACAAAATCAGAAATAAGCCAAATTAGTGGTATTTCTGGCTATTCACCGTGAAGCACAATTTCTAAAAACTGAATTTAGCAACAAAAGTATGGCAAATTTTATTTCCTAGATTTGTATAAAGGTGCGCGCGGCAAATAAAAGCTAGGAAATAAAATTTGCCATACTTTTGTTGCTAAATTCAGTTTTTAGAAATTGTGCTTCACGGTGAAAAGCCAGAAATATCACTAATTTGGCTTATTTCTGATTTTGTACACCGTGCTTCTTCTTCCGGGACGAACAGTTGTTAATTGAACAACAGATTCTTCATATTGTGTATTTTCAAGAACTTGTGCAACATTTTCGGTTATGATCGGTTTCTGTGCATGCCTAAATCGAAGCATTTTTAATTGTTCCTAATTCTATCTCTACCATTACCGATAGGCGTATCGTAATCATTGCTCCCTCCCCTACTAACGACTCGCTTGAAGAGTATACTCTTTTATAGAAGATTTCACTCAGTTAAAATCATGAAACTTAAGAAAATGTCATAGCTATCTATACTGTTGCTATGAATACTGAAACGAACTCTAAGATTCTGAACTGAATTTTTATGTTTTATTTTTTTCAAGCATGATTGTTGCAAAGAAAGGCTAGCTTATGCTATTGCAACACCGCGCTTTGAACACATCAGCTTTGAAACTTCGGTGATGTGGTCGAGAACCAAGTGTCAAAAATACGTCAAAAATTGACAGCCCATTGAGTTTTCAAGCTCCGGTACCGTATAAGAGAAGAGGTGGTGAAGTTACTGCCGTATAGCGACGATAACCATTAGAAAAAGTTACTGAATCATGTTTTTCTGAATGATATATAACAATTTTGCATATTGTTAATGCTTGAAAATCTGGTATTTTTCCCTTTGAACCTTTTTTCTTTTGCTATTATTTCCGTAAAAAAGTGTAGCAAAAGTGAGAATCCAGTTCATTTTGTACTTTTGAATATACTTTTTCTCGTGATCTGTAAGAAAGGCTTTTAGAACAGATGGTGTGGTCGAGAACCAAGTGTCAAAACACCGTCAAAACCTTTGAGCTTTCAAGCTCCGGTACCGTATGTAATTAATTTCACAGTAGATGATACAACAAACAGCTACAAGCTCACAGTGAGCAGACTAAGCCTAACAAAATATATGCATTGGACTACTCTATCATGTACAAAAACCGAATAAAATCAGTTTCAAAGTCATATTTCAGTTAATCAGTTAATGGCATTTTATTTCGAAAAATTAGTGCTGACGAAATACTAATCCTCGTTTAAACCGAGTTTGAAGAATATGTTACATATGCGGGTGATTTCTCGTGCGATTATCCAGGATAAACGGACAGTTTTATAGGCAACACATCTAACCATTCTGAGAAATGAAAAATGAGTGGGAAATAGTTTTACAGGTGTACACCAATTCTATGAAGAAAACATTTAGAGTGAATCGAAATCCATATTATTTGCTTTTATTTTTCGAGTTTTAATAACCATCGTATCAAAAAGCCTAATAAATATTCTTTCCAATTCGTAAGAGTTTTTTTCTGTCTGAAAAGTTTTATCTACATAGTTGATATCACAATATCAAGATTGAACTATAAACGATCAACAAAGTTTTATTATTTAATCTCTAATCAGACTACAAAATATATTCTTTTAAAAAAAAGCGTAAAGTTGTTTTGATTGAATCGATTTATTTCTTGCCATTTCATACTTTTTTTCCCAGATAATAGGTGTCCCACGAATCGCGACCATATCCACCACCGATGACCTTGAAACTACTTGCCCTGGCTCCCTCGACTAGTTTATCGATGTAATATACGTCGAAGGTGTCTTTAGCGTAAAAATCGCCCAAAAGTTGAAACGAACTTGCTCTCGCTCCCGGTATTTGCTTGCCATTATAAAATACGTCAAAACTGTCACGAGCATAGTTCTGTCCCAATGTTTTAAACGAACTTGAAAAAACACCCTGGATTTTTTCTCCGGCATAGTAGACATTGAACGTATCCATGGCATAGTAGTCTGTCAACACTTTAAACGAAGAAGCACTGGCATCCTTCACTTTTTGTCCTTGAAATGCCACATTAGTGGCGTCGCTGGCATATCCGAAACCGAGATCTCTGAACGATGAAGCCTTGAGAAACGATACTTTCTGTCCCCGCCAATAAACGCCATAGGCATCTTTGTAGTAGCCGCTATTTCCACCAGGAGTATATGTGGATGAACTACCGAATGAGAATTGACGGCGATGAGGTCGACATTCGACGACAGCAACGGCGAAAATAAGGTAAACAAAAATCCCGATTCGACTGTACATGATGACCATGAAATGGAATAAAGTGCATAAAAGTGTATGTCTTTATATTTATGTTTATCTCTAATATTTTATCGAGTTTCGTGAATAATCATTATTATTTCTAATATTTGAGAAGCAAACAATCACCATATCACAAATTCAAAGTTGCTTTCCTTTGATTCACATTGTGTTGCTCGTTATGTGTTTGACAAAAATATTAATCAACAATCGTAGATTGTGAATTTTAAGTATGAAACAATATTTGCCGTAGATAATGGCATGAATAAATCTATTCTACGTAACGTGTTCTATTGTCTTTATAAGCATATCTTAAGTCACATTTTACTGTATCTATGGGCAAAACGCATAGCTATTGTACGATTTCAATCCGAAGTGTAAGCAACGATTAACTTCTTGACCGTTGTATTGTGCGGTTTTTGCAAGACAACTGTTTTGAAAACAAACAAAAACACAATCTTAACACGACGACTTTTTTATCTGGTCTTACAATCCTGAAAAACATGTTTGAGTCGGTAGCTCCTCCAAAATTTTGGTTTGTCATTCCGAAAACAAAAACCTACATAAATCACTGGTGAGATCATGAAAAGGTCGCAATAAATTCGCTACGAGATCTTGTCATGCTACAGACAGCACATACTTTTCTATGCGTTTTGGCCAATGAAATTTGATACTTTGATTTCATTCTTTTGAATCCATGTATATCAAGATAATCGAATTACATATAGACCTGGCGTGTTTTGTGTATCAAGCGTATATGCTTGTTATTAAATTAAAAAAGAGAAAACAAGGATGCACGTTGTCTACACAATCTTGACTTTTTCTTCTATTTTTGCGTCGCATAGCAAAACAGGTCACTTTTCCTGGACTGGTTTACAAGAAAACGGAATGCATCAATCGATGGGGAATTTAACGAGGATCCCAGATATGCTACCGCTTTTCCTGGACAAGTCTTAGTTTTTGAGAAAGAAACGAAAAACTGTTTTTGCGTGGAAACAAGCGCTTTTTATTCTATTCTCCCATTTTTTTCTCAGCATATTTCTGCATATGTCTTTCCTTCTCTGATTCTCTTTCTTTTGTGTATTGTTGGGATGAACGAAAGAACGAAAAGAGAATAACTGCGTATACTTTATATTAAACGTTGATTTGTACAGCTATACTTTAGTGGGAATATTCATTTACTCTTTTTGTGTCCAGGAACATTTCTACACTATGAATGCATAATCCGTCAAGTTAAACAATTAAAATATCACTAATTAGACAGTATACTTTTCCACTATCACGCGATCTTTAAGTACAGAATTTGAACATTTATGCTGAAATATTTTTCAATAAAGTGCACCTCAGATTTATTAAGATGTCGAGCTGCCTATATCACCGTTGAACACACGAAAAATACATCATTTTTGTTTATAATTAAGTAAGCTTCTCAATGAGTTCTGGAAAAAGGTTTTAAGGCTCTTTTTCACTATCATGACTTTCCAGCTTTCTCTTCGGGTCATGGTAATCAGACATAATACGTGCTAAAACTTTAGTTATTCAGTGAATAACCACATTAATTTTATGCAGAAAATGAAATAAAGTAGAAATGAAACATGAAAATAAGATTAAAGTAGTAGTATATAGCACGTTATTTCTCTTTAAAGAACAAAATAAGGAAAAGTAGATTTTATATTTTTATTGACATGTTCGTTCATTTTATGTTCAAAAGAAGTTGTGCTGACTATGATTTTTATTCAATATTCTGCTCACTTCGTGAATTAAAACTAAAATAATTAGTGAGGACCCTTTTCCACTTTTTATACTAATCTGAAGGACAGAAGTTGTACTATATATTGATCTGTTTTTTAGAAAAAGGTCCCTTTCAGTTTCTTTCGTTTTAATTAACGAAGCTGACAGAGTACGGAATAACTTACAACTAGGGCACATTAGGTACGCACCGATTTTGGTTTCGAAAAACCGACGTTTGATTTAAACCAACACCGTGAAAACCGGACATTGTCGCATTCAAGAAATATGCATAGCTGGTAGGACACTCTTTGTACCTGTAGGGAAAAGATCAGTGGAATCGGTGTAGGACATCTGGAGAGGTCCCTCGTCAGTATCATGAACTTTTGTGTCTCTACAGCTTTATGTAACTCGAGAAATCGTAGGACATAATACATATGATCAGAAGAAGAAACATATGGCATACTCCATCCGGTCGCTTAGCCGTTCAGTCGTTCGCAGGTCGTTCTGCGGCAATGAAATTCTAATTTATTTTATTTTGTTTTATTTCGGTTCCTTTGATTGTATTGTGGTAATGTAGGTGTGATGTAATGGCACATCATATTTTATTTATATTATAAATTTTAGAAAAAATTATATAGAATAACCTCGTCAACTTTGGTTTAAGTACAATAAGCATCCACCGACAAGAAAACGAGCAACTGCGGTGGACAGCTTTTAAACACAAGAAAGATCTTACGACAAGAAGTCACAGGGTTCCGCAAGATCATACATGATCTTGAGATAAGATCTCGTCAAAATCTAAAATCTTCTAGATTGCATAAGAAATCATCAGATCTTATAAGATCTTGTAAGACGTCTTTCACCTGGTTAAAGAACGGTAAAGTTATCGAATTTTCCGACGGGGTGATCCAAAGGGGGGGGGAACAACCGATTCTTGAGCTTAAAAAATCGGTATAAATCCAAAATCGATAAAAAACGCAAAAGGTCGGTGAAAACCTGAAAAATCACTTAATGCAAATGAGCAAAAAAATAACATTAAAATTTGTTTTTGTAACATTTGTTGTATTTTGTACAAATAAGATTCTGCACTATTTATCGCGGTCCCTTTACTTGATTTCCCAAACAAATCAAAGGAAAACCGGTGAAAATCAGAAAAAGCCCAGAATCAGCTGTTCCCCCTTGCGGTGATCACGATCTATGTTGAATTAGCCAGTTGTAGACTGTCACAAAGTATAGCGTATTTTTGATTGGAAAAAATCTAATTCATGTTCATTGAAAATTAATTTAAAAGTTTCAAAATTTAGAAATAAGTAGAGTTTTGAAATGCGCTTGTCTTTGGTTATTTGATAACAATTTCTGTCGCTGATTTTTCCAGTCTTTCCACAAATAGTTTGCAGGGTTTACAACTACAAAGACAGATGATTTAACCTTATTCGTCCAGATATGTTTAAGTGCTAACTTTACGAGAAGGCGAACGTTTTTAGTTATCAAAAAGGAAAGGCAAGCTATTTCCTGAATAACAACTCTATTAGTCTGCGTTATGAGTTAGAAAAAAAGGCTTCTCAGAATCACAGAATGTATAGATGCTCTATGTTACTGTACTCTAAGATGCGTGTCTGTAACATCTAAATTATTTTGAATGTTCATTATTAGTTCTTCGTATTAATGAGATGGCTAAGTTCTCTACAAAAGCCTTCTGCTCTTCATTTATCCCTCTCACCTCTGGATCTTCCTCTTTCGATCGCACACGCGTACAAATCGAATATATACGAAATGAGCTGTCTAAAACTGATTTTAAACTTCAAGGCAAAAATCATTTCGGACACGTTTTAAAAACTTTTCCTCAAAAATCAAGAAAAAAAATCGAAATTCCGCTTATAATTCTCAGCTTTCTTCAGCAGAACTCATTTTTTATCATAGTCAGATTTCATTAGGTTTCGTAAGATTTTTGTATGATTTCTATAAGTATTTATAAGATGAATCCATTTTTGTGATTTTCAGTAAGATTTCATAAGGTCGTGTAAAATCTTGATCTGACTTTTTGACCTGGGATGAAATCTTTCAAGATCTTGTGACTTTTTGCATGATCATACAAGACCTTATCGCAAGATCTTGCAAGATCTTACAGAACCTTGTTACAAGAGAAATCTTGTGAAATCTTAAGTTGAAATATAATCTTATATGACCCTACAAGATTCTTCGTATTTGCAGTTCTAACCACTTATGATAATGATATGTTTTCGGGATATTCAGAGACCACTCGTTTTATATTAACAAAATCAAGCTTTTTCCAAAAACTGATGTGCTTTTTCACGCTAAATTCAATTAATCACTGATACTGCATGCAAAACCATATTTATTACTACTTAAAAACATTTTACTGTCGGTGATCGATTCAAGTTCTTAATTCATTGAAACATTTTTGTCGAAATTCACGTCGGATATCATTTGGAAAATTATTTGAATGACCATCATTTTCATTTTTTTATGTCCTCAACAGTTTTCTTCGTACAAAATCAAATCTTTTATCAATACGCGTTACTTCGTTAGTCTGCCATGAATCATAGTCCGAAAAATGATTCACACTCATAATAAGAAAAAAAATCAGATTTTTGAACTTTTACGGTTAATAACAGTTTTTATCATGCAAAAATTTGGTGTACCACACAACCTGTACATTAGAAAAGTTAAATTTCGAACACACGAAACTGAATTACTCACTGGTACTGTCGTTTCATTAAAAAACAGACACCATGTTTGAGCGTTTTTTTAAACTATCCTTATCGTAAAAATAAAAAAAGAACTTTTTAAACTCGATTTTTATCCGGATTTTCTCGCAGACTGAGCGGAAGATAGTGTTCCACTTTATAACAAAACAATTATTCTTACATTGTTAAATACCCTGCATCAACAGGTAAGACAGTACCGGTAATAAATTTGGCTTCATCACTAACCAAAAACGCTACGGCTGCTGCAATATCTTCTGGTTCCGGTAAATACCCTGGTATCAATGATAAATATTGCAGCTGATCTTTAATCAAATTAGGATCTTTTGATTCACTAATAAATTTGGAAATCAATGGCGTATAAACAGCGGTTGGTGCAATTGCGTTTACTCTTATTTTATATTTACCATAATGACGGGCTGCTTCTATTGTTAAATGAATTAGTGCTGCCTTCGAACAATTGTATGCAGGGTTATCACCTTGTGGAAAAATGCCGGCAATAGATGATGTATTGATAATAACACCGCCATTTGAATTTTGTTTAACCATTTGTTCCAAACCATATTTCATTACATAAAATGCTCCATTTAAATTAACATTGATCACTTGATGCCAACTATCCAATGGGCATTGATGCATTGGTATTGGCTGATGAGTAATACCAGCATTATTAATGATTATGTCGAGTTGTGATTTTTGGGAGGAGATTGCTTGTCGAACGGATTCGGGATTTGTAACATCGGTTTTAGTGAATATCCCTCTATCCGACGGCCATGGTTTGCTGGGTTCTTGTAAATCGGCAATAATCACACGCGCACCTTGCGATGAGAGTCGACTGGCAATTGCCTGACCAAGACCAGATGAACCACCAGTAATAAATGCTGTTTTACCAATAAATCTTGAGGCCGTGCTGTGACTTACTTTTGTAAATAGTGCACAATAATGTTTTGCTTTGTGTACTGTGTAATATGTTGCTCGAAAGATAGAAGCGTTTATACTGGCTAAGAAGGAAAATGGTGAGAACAAAACAGGAAAAAAAAGAAAAGTAATGCTTGATTGCCGTTTTAATACATATCTTGTGTTTTTACAAGGTAGATGCGATCCGTATTGTGCTAACTATAATTATCTTTCGTATACGGGCAAGAAATATATTCGTTTTCCTCTACTCTATAAATACACATATCTTTTTTCTTTTCTGTCTGATCTATTGTGGTTCTCTATGTCCGTGTGTGCTTTCTTTTTCGTTCACAATCGAATGAACGAATAAATGAATTGTTGTGAATATTAATGAAATGTTAATTTAGGGTAATTTTAGAAAATAAATATAAAGTCGTCATTTATATTTAAAAAATAAAGATATATAAATGAAAAATTTATTTTTATAAAATAAAGGATTCATTTATCTTTATTTTAAAAATAAAATAAAATAAAGATAAATGATCCGTTTATCTTTAGTTTTTAAATAATAAATTATTTTTCATTTCTTTCTCATTATTTTTTAAATATAAATAATTCATTTATCATTTATATTTTTATTCATTATTATAAATGAACAATAAAACTAATGAACATCCCTATAAATGTAGTACGTGCAAACACTACGCATTTCCAAAAAGTGCATTACAGAATCACAAAAGGTCGAGTTTACGGATAAAAAACATCCTAGTGCATTCGAATATTCGAAACATGCGGGAGGAGAAGGACAAACAAGTCTTCAGTCATGAACAATAACAATTACAACAGTGAAAAACTAGACATACTGTTGATACGTATGCATGCTGATTTAAGTCATGCGTGCTGTAATGAGTAATCATTTTAGGTTAACGGATGGTTCACACATATGCGAGAGGAAGGAGCTGCGCTTTCTCTCCTTTTGATACTTATCAGTTTCCCTGTCAAAACGACCTTTGTTATTTTCTAAAAAAATGGATCACACAGAAAAACTGGCAAGTTTGTACAAAATTGTTTTTACTCATATTTTGATTGACTATTGCCAGTATTAGTAGGCAAATGTTTCGAATCATTCAGAATAGCATAGTCCAGAAAGTGTATATACACAATATATGGAATATTTACCTTAGTAGAGAAAATAAATATATTCAGCAACTTACAAATAATTTTTTTCGAAATCAGTTAGTTTTCTTGGTTCAATGTTTCTGTTCACAAGATTTTGAAGAGAACTTATTCGAACAGAAGTACAGCATAATTTATGACTTTTTCATTGTGAAATTATCCTGGTACAATGAAGTAGTATAAGACATCGTTTAGTCTTTGGTATGTGGTAGTCTTAAAAATTTGGCACAAAATCCGTTGAAAGAGCTGAGATAAGGATGAAAACTAAACAGCTGAAGTGCACGAATGTTCCTCTCGGTTAGTGGATGGCCCATTACGTTTTAAATGAATGCTTTTATGTTTATTTTATTAAACACGTTATCACTTTAATTAATATCTGGTATAATGGGTAATAGTAAAACATGACGACACCCACAGACAGCATACAGACATCCTCTTCTGCAGACGTAGAAGTGGATGTCTGTGTGCTGTGTGTGCAGCTGTCTGTGAATGTCAATATATATCTGCTATACATGTAAGACTCACAATGACATTGAGATCAGACTAAAACATGGTAAAAAGACGATCAGGTTCTCGAAAAAATATTTACGCCGACTGTTTTATTTTGTAGACAAACGTCAGATAAATGAATTATACGTTGAGGATGGATTGCCATGTATGGCAAAATATTTCTGGGATGCAAACTTATTTGAATTGCAAACCATTTGACTAAATATCCTTCATACAATTATGGGAACACATAGGACAATAAGAATAACACTTTATTGAAGACATATAAGGCAACTTGTTTTTGTTTTTACACGAATATGAAAAAGATGTATAAGAAAAATTGAAAGAAAATATATGAATAAGAAAAAAAATAAGAAAAAATACGATTGTTGTGATTTATTATGAGAAACCACGGTAGCACTTGAAAATATTTTTAATAAGTTGTTTTTATTTCAATTCATATTCGATAGCCTTGAATGGAAGAAAAAAATAAAATGAGTGTGGCTTTTGATGTTAAATGAATGAGACATAGAAAAAATATTGATGAGAAGAAAAGAAAATAGAAGTGTTCCATGTAAACATTATTCGTTTCCTTATTTATGTATATGGCATAAATTGAAAGTACACAAATTCTACTGAAAATTTCTTCAGTTCACAGGTATGATTGATTGATAATGATAAATGCTTAAGTGACATCATGAAAGTTATGTAAATGATTGAAATTGTTAAAATGGTAATGTTTTAAGAAAGTGATAATCATTGTAACAAAAAGAATTGAACGAAAATGGTTTTTGTTGATATATTATAATTTAGTCATAATAATAGTTTGTTCAAATATTCCACATTTTTGTAATTTAAGGAGAAGTAGGAAAAGAGAAATGCTTGATAGTTATGTGTTGTTTTTGGCCGATACAACACCAATTGAACATGAGTCGAAACTGCGACATATTTTGTTTAGTGATCAATTGATGACCAGTACTCAGGATAGGATCGATCTGGATGAATGTTGGCAGAAATAATGATCCTGGGTCGTGCACTGGATGAAAAAGCCGGGTTGGATATTTTGGTACGATCTAATTTCCAGATGGCCTTCCCGGTTCAAAAACTAGATGGATCCTGAGCGATGTATAATTTAGATTGATCTGAAGATTCCACCATATTTATTGATCCATTACCGTTTTTCTTCAAAAGATCGACTGTGGCCGATCAGAAATCTATTTGGATCCAGAATATCCGATCCGACTTTTTGATCCAAAAGTATCATGTCCCAAATATGGCATGATCTGGGGTTGAAAATTTTAGGGACATATGAAAATTCCGTCTATGTCCTTCCTCTCCGTTAAGTGATATATTCTAAAAGTGATTAATTCTCTCATCATGCCTTATTCTTCATCATTGCCGTCACTTCTCCTTACTTAGAGTGACACGACTCGACTTCAGTACATAGTTTTGGGCAGAGGCAGAGGGCGGAAACTGAATGTACCAAAATTTTATCATAGTATTCACTACTACATCCGAACTTAAAGCTTCATAAACTTCTGAGAGGAACCAACGTGAGAGCGACTTTGAACTGAGTCATAATTAGTTCGTAACCGGATCGACGGCACAGAAAATTAGAAATGCTTTTGTTTTTGGATAATTTAGAGGCCTGGTTCTTGTCGTTAAATATGGGTTCGTTGAGCTCGTCAGTAGCAAACAACAGCTTTCAAAACGTAGCGACATCATCGAAACTAACACGACCACAAACCGTTTGGATGTGGAAATCAAACGTAGAAACAGAAGAGTGGAAAAGATATTCTGACGTTGAAAATCGCATCATCGAACAAGCTAACCAACAAAACAAAAATCAAGTTGAACTCGATGATCTCTGGATCGATTTGAAACATGAAATTCAAATCAATAAACAAGACTCGAACAAAGAAAGACCAATCAAGCGAGTCACAAACATGTCAAACGAATATGTGAGAGAAGAAAGATTTACGTGTGAACAACCAATACTTAACGCTAAAGCATTTAGCAACACTTCACTCTTTTGGTTTGTTTCGTGCAAATCGTTTGTTTATGCAGCAGGGCTTCGGAATGTAAAGATAAACGACGAATTGGTTGAGAAAGCAGCTTGCGGCATTGAAGAAGAGGGTGCGAAAGTGAATAAAAAAAAAGAAGCTGAATGGATTGCGAATGAATTGAGAAAAGTAAAACGGAGAGGAGAAAAAGAAATCGGTGAATGTTGCGTCAAACTATATACAATGGAAAGTTTCTTGTACAAACTTGTCAACAAAGTCATGAGAGAAGCGCAAATAAAAGGAAATGGACGGAAACCAGAGTTTGTGTCTGAGAGAGATACAAATTATGGTCGCACATTGGGACCTTATTGCTGGATATTACAAACTTATCTTCGCAAGAGTTCTCATGAAAAAGGCACTTATGTTTACCGAAGCGCCAACTTGACAAACGAAATGATTGATGATTATAAAAAACATGTTGGTCGCTCTGTTTCGTGGAATTCGTTTTCAAGCACAACAAAGAACATAGCGATCACGTTAAATTTTGGTGGAAATACTTTATTTAAAATTCACATTCCTCGACGAACAGCTGAAAGCAATGTGGCAATCTCATCATTGTCAGAATATCCGAAGGAAGAAGAAGTATTATTAGCAGCTGCTGTGGAGATCGTAATAAAAAAAGTTAAATATGACAAAAGAATCAATAAACATGTCATACACTTAAAATTATGGGGAAAGGACTAAAATTGCGATTGTAATTTTTTTATTTGAACGCTTTTTATCTTTTGTAAAAGCTAAAAGCTAAAGTCATTTCCAATTTTCAAAGTGAATTTCTTATAAAATCGAATTATTAATTAACAGTGCGGTACAGGTTACCGTACAATTAAACTAAGCCAAAGGGGCAGAAAGAAGTTTTCTAGTACAAGTTTTGTTAGAGCAGCGCGGCTCAGTCGGCTAGTGGGCAGACAACGTACTTCAAAGATACGGAGTTCGAATCCCGGCAACGGTGGCCATGTGATAGTCTTGGACAAGCTATCTAATGCTCATTGTCCCGGTACCTTTGGAAACAGATGCAATGGAATAACCCGATTTCAGTCGTTGTTGGACTGGAAAGATGAGAATTAAAGTTTAAAAAAACATGAAAATAATTTTGTTATTCCAGCAACCCAAGATTATAATTTCAAAAGTAGAGTAATTTTAGAAATAATTGTAACTTCGTACATTTCATAGACTATTGCACTGAATAATCCTCATCTTCATTTAAGAAAGAAATAAGCAACAAATTATTAGAATGAAACAGTTACTGCCAAAGAAGTTCTGAACGTTTTCCGGGAATAAAGAACCCACTGTTTCATAATGCTAAATGCATACCAGATTGTATTTTCAAGTGGTCAAGAACCACCTTTTATTTTTAATCTTTTGGGAACAGAAACAAAACCACTTCATCAGCATATGCTGATTTGTTAATACAACTAGGTGAACTAAAATGATGTAAATTTTTAGTCTTCATCTCGCTATTTATTTTTTGCTCTTTATTTCTTTCTTTAGCTTTTAACATCTTTTATCATAGTTTGTTACGGCTCTCTAAATTGTACTTTTAATGAGGACCTTGGCCGTCGTTTCTAAATAAAAAGATTATACTAGCAACTACCGTCTAATAGAAACTTTTATTTTCATTTTGGATTTATTTTTAAGAACGCAATTCGAAAGAATGTCTATAGTAAGATAATTTTAACTTTGTATATATCGCTAAAACTTTCAATGCCAGATCTGGTCTTTCGACTTGGAAAACTGCAGAACTCTTCCAGTGTGCGCAGACGAAGGGCTAAAACTAGGATCAAAATAAGTTAGTCTATTACTACACACAAAGGCTCATTTCAGATTAAATACGATTAATGTAGGAATACTTTAAAACGAACGCAAAATGTGGAGTTTTTATTTGAATTATTTTCATCACATGCTAAGAAATCTGGGTACTTCTACGGATCGATCACACCCCTACAGAAAGGGAAAAAAAAACTATTGAAGTACATTATTATGAACGCGAATAATAGATGACTCTAGTAATAGGAGCTATAATAGATAAGAGTGATAGATCCAATTAAGAAGGATCAGTCATGATTAAGAAATAAAGCGAGACATAATTTGTACACTACTTAAACTGAATTATTATTTGAGGATCTAAAGAAATGATATAAATAGCAGTGATATAATGAAGGTAGAGCACAGTACACTCTTTAATTCGTTAACAATGTCTATTTTGCCGTTACCACCTGTTGATAAGATGACATTGCGTGAATGGAACCATATTACTGATACATTAGAAGATTGTAAGGTGCAAATAATGCAAAAATCGAGCAAATTTTTTTTTAGGTTTTATTACATACCATTCGATAGAGCGTGTCGAGCTGATTAAGAATATGTGGCTTTTAATTTTTTCTAATCCCTTTTTTATA